ATGGATATTAGTTGTATTGGTATTTTTTTGTTGGTTGTTAGAGGTTTGTTTGAGGATAGTTAGATATGGGGTTTGGGGAGTTGGGGTAGAGGGAAAGGGAGAGGGAGAGAAGAAATAATGATATATTAAATAGTATAAAGAAAAAATAGGTGAAGAAAAGGGGGGGGGTGGTGGGGGGGTGGTATGGGAGGGGGTAAGGTGATATAGGAGATATAGTGGTAGATGTTTTGGGTGAGTGTAATGTGTTTGGTATGTTAAGGTTGTGGGGTGGTATATTGTGGGGAGTGGTGGTGGGGGAGAGTGGTTATGTTTAGAGTAGTTGTATATGGGGGTTGATGATGGGGTGGAAGAAGAAGATTGGTAATATGAGGATGGGATTATTATTAAGGAGAGTGATATTGTTTGGGGAATGGGGAAGAGGGGTTGTGGGATATTGATGTAAATGTAATTGGAGGAGGAAGGGTGGTAGTTTTAGAGTGAGTTTTGTGTTTTATAGAATGATATTAAAGGAAGTATGGATGATTTAGGTAGGGTAGGGAAATTTGATACGATGGGTTTGGTGTTTTGGGATGTTTTTATTATATTGTGTTAGGGTGGTTTGATGATAGTCGATGGTGTGGGTTTGTGGGGGTAATGAGTTGTAAGGGTTTATTAGGTTGGGGAGTGGAGTAGGGGGAGTATGGGTGTATGAGGATGTGTGGTTATATTTAGAGTGGATGGAGTAATGTGGTTTATATGTGTTTTATAAATTGGGTTTAAGTATTGTTTGATTTTTTGGTTGGTAATGATTGTAGGGGGGGGGAGTGTGATGGGTGAGATTGAAATTTTGTTATATTATATGTTATGTTGATTGGTTGGAAATAATATAGTTACACGGAGTCTGGAGTTGTTTCACACAGTACATACTCTGGGGTATGGATATTGTATATCACACATACCAGACATAAAACACATGAGGGTGAGTTACACAGTTGAGGTCTACTTGGAGTCTTAGTATAGGTTAGTGAGGTGGAGTAATGGGAGAGTTTAGAGAGTGATTTAATATGGGGATAGAATGGGTAAGGGAGATTGTTGATATATAGTGGTATGGTGGGGGAAATATGGGATTAGGAATTATATTGGGGTATATAATGTGTGGTTGTTGGTTGGGTGGGTGTGTAAGAAGGGGATAGGATGTGAGGTGGAGATTTGAGGGGGGTATTGGGGGTTGGGGGGGGGATGGGGGAGAGATAGAATATATGTGTGGGGGGTGAGGGGGGAAATGGTATGGTGGAGATGGAATGTTAGTGGGGTATGTGGGGGTGGGGGTGGGGTTTAAGGTGGTAAAGTGGTTTAAGTGGTTTAAGTAGATGTATTAGGGGTGTTATGGATTTAGAATAGATGTTTGGAAAGGGAAGTAAGGGTGGAGTTAAATGGTAAGGAGGGAGGTGTGGAGTGTGGGAGTGAATAGATGAATAAGGAATATAGGAGAATAAATGTGGATAAGAATAAAAATATGAGTGAGGGGTAAAAAAATAATGAGACATAAAATGTGGAGAAGATAATAGGTAGGATGGTTATAGGATAAATGGAGAATAATTAGGAGTATAATAAAGAGATGAGGGTAAGTTGGGAAGGTGGAGGTTGTGATAGTGGAGTGATGGGTGTTGTTATTTGTGGGTTATGTGGAGGTGGGAGGAGTAAGGGTTAGGCGTATCTAAGATGTAGATTATGAGAATGGTGATTGTTTGGTGAGTAGTGAGTTATTAGTAGGTGTGTAAGTGTGGAGTATGAGTTATGAGGAGTTAAAAATATGTGAAATAGGGTGGTGGTGGAATAATGTGTTATTATGTAGTGGACAGTGTAGTCTATTTATAGGGGATGGAGTTTGTTTTTAGTGGGTTGTGGTGGGTGTCTATGGAGTAGGTGGTGTGGTTTTGTGTTGTGTGTTGGTGGTATGGTGTGAGATGAATGTTGATGTATGTTGGGGTTTTGTTGTATGATTTAGGTGGTAGAGAGGAGATATGGTTGAAGAAGGAAGGGTTAATTTAAAAAGTGGTAAGGGGGAGTTCCTCTGGGTGGAGCAGGACGGGTCACAGGCAGCAGAGGTGGAGTAGCCTCTGGGTGGAGCAGGACGGGTCACAGCAGCAGAGGTGGAGTAGCCTCTGGGTGGAGCAGGACAGGTCACATGGTGGCGTAGCCTCTTGGTTCGGAGCATTTTCTCTGCTCTTGTCCAAAGAAAAAAGGCTAGGTGGTTCATTAGCATTTTTCAAAAAGTTAGCATTCCTCCCTCTGATCCACTTGGTTCGGACCATGAATCCTCTCTGCTCTGCTCCGGTCTGGACCAGTGTAAAACCATGAGCACTGTACTGCAGCAACATCTTGGGTAGAAAAGAGCAAGAATAATAACATTGTTTCAGAGCTACTTAGGACCTGCTGCCGCGCATTCCAAAGTGCCTACTAAATACCAATTAAGAGCAAGTTAACCATAAATTATTCACTAAATTGCACTTTATTAGCTGATAATTAGTGAGGGCCAAACTAAAGTGTGACGAAATGTTTTTTTTTAACCTACAATTACAATGCGGCACGGTGGCTGAGTGGATAGCACTCTCGCCTCTCAGCAAGAAGGTCCTGGGTTCAAATCCCGGTCGGACCAGGGCTTTCTGAGTGGAGTTTGCATGTTCTCCCTGTGTCTGCGTAGGTTTCCTCCGGGTACTCCGGTTTCCCCTACCACTAAAAATATGTCCAATAGTTCAGGCATGTGCCTCTATACTGGCGACCCCGCTCCCATCTCTGTGTGGAGTGAGAGACAAATGCCCATAATTAACAATTGTAAACCGCTTTGAGACTCAGATCTGCAGTGAAAAGGCGGTATATAAATAAAGATTACTTACTTACTTACTTACAAGCGACTCGTAACTTTGTTTTCATGTGCAGGACGATAGCAGTGCGACTCTTCTCTGTGAGCATCTCTATCTCCTTCTGCCTTGTGCCGCCGAGACAATAAACAGGTCGACGCTACTCATAAAACAAAGCTTAATGGACCAGAAAATTATGAACAGACTCCAGAGTGAGTGGATTTACTGTCCTGAATTATGAGCCGCTGTGTAAGGTCGGTTTGATATATATATTTATGGTGTTGGGTGTGTTCTAGTGGTGCTGTACAACTCTGTGTCTGGAAGTCTGCTGTGCCAAATAATGTACTCGTTGCTGCTGCTTCCTCTGAGCACGGTCCAACCCCTGCTGAGCCACCTGCTGGTTCTGCTCGAGAGTCTTAACAATTTCACCAAAGTGCTGCCTGAAACGAGCCAACAGGAAGAACAGGAGCTGAACGTGGAGTGCCAAATCACAGGTACGTTCAATATATCGTCTAGTGGTGCGGGGGGAAAAAATTGATTCTGTTCAGTGTTGTGATATTTTTGGGCATGCAGATAAATCGATATAGACAAAAGTATTGATGGGATAATTATCGGTTTCACTTGGGTGTTTTCTCTGTGTTTACTCTGGTAAATAGCATCAGAGGTTTGTGTTACTCTATGACAGAAGTCTCCAACCTGTAGCCACCAGTAGCTCGCCACCCCCTTCCAGGTAGTTCTCCAGATAATTTAGAAATGAACAAATCCAATAATATACTTTAAGCTGCATTACCTCACTTTATTTTTGTGTTAATTATGAAAATTCAATCCATATCCATGCAGTGCATTGGGATAAACGTCCTTTTGAAGAAAAAGTAGCGCAGGTTTGTGCTGGCGTGTCTTTATATTTTAGATCGAGTTTTCGTACAACAAGGAAGAGAATGTGTCTCGGGTCCAGATTGTGACCAATCACAGCGGACCACTGGCCCCCACTTTCTTGAGAAAAGCTACAGGTCTGTTGTTAGCAAAGACAGCTGAGGTAAACAAGCGGCGGAGGCTAACCTGAAGCTTCCCGTGTCTTCGTCACCGGTTACTGCTTACTCAGCGAAACATCCATCCAAAAGAAAATCTTGTTCCTCCACGCTTCCCGGTTCTGTCATTCTATGGTCACGCCATCCACGTTCATATGCGTCCATATTGTGAGACGTGAGCTCCGTAAACAGCACATGTGCGGCTAAGTGGGGGGCGGGTGTAGTGGGGAGGGCGAGCAGAAAGAGCAAGGCCAGCGCTCACATTCGAAAATTTCACAAAGTGAGTTAGTGCAGCTTTAATATTCCAGATTTATTCCTTATATTAATGTAAATGCACTTACGTTGTGCATTAGTAACAAATATGATAAATACTGACTGTACCCACACCAATATGTCACCACATTTCTCCCAGTGCCTTTATCGTCACGGGAAAAAGAGGAAAGTGGTTCTCTGGGTGGAAAAGGTTGGAGACACCTGCTTTGTCTGTATGTCTGCTTTTTGTGACTCTATACTCCAGGGCTTTTTAAAACGTTTATACTCCTTTAGCAGTCATAATGCAATTGTAGTCTGTATAATAACTACAGGAAATCATTGAAAACCATAATTTACCGTTATATCGTACAGTATCCCTGCATTAATGACAGGATATAGTTTTAATACATATGAAATTACTCAAAAGTGAATCGTTCAGGATGTGTTAAATTCTTGAATCCTTTGGGGAATTACCTAACATTAACCGCAATGTATCACAGAATCGAATCGCAAGACTCACTGTATCACAATCTGAATCTGAATATGTTAAGAATCGCGATACTGTCCCAAATATCGCAATACTATTGAATTGTCACATTTTCACCCATCCCTAATAATACATAATTTCTTCTTTTTTCCACAGGGTCAAACGCATCACAGAATGAAGAGAAGTGTCTGTGGGTGTGGCTGTTGGACTTGGAGCGGTCCGTGGCGTTGGCCGTTGGCAGATGTCTTGGTGGGATGCTGCTGGGTCCTCCTCCCTCTCTGCAGGAGAAGGAATCCGAGACTTGGCTTTCCAACGTCTTACTGCGCAACGGGCTCGAATTGGACTTTGAACAACTCGGTAGGCAGCTGCTCTTTTAATGTGTAGTAGTTAAAGAATTTCTACAACCCAGTGGCTCCTACAGCCATTGGTTGGTCATTATATCATATAGGAGACAAAGACAATGATATTTCTCTCTGCGCTATGGAGAGTAGCTTCAGTGACAGACTTATTCATCCAGGCTGTGTGAAGGAGAGATTCCGCAGGTCTGTCCTTCCTGCTGCAGTTGTCAGATTGCACAATGAGAACTCCTGAGCCTGTACATGTCATCCCATCTGTATATAGTATTTACTGCGTGTACAGTAGGTAGGTAGATAGACAGATATTGAAGCATTTATAGCTAGCTTAGAAACATAGCAGCTGCTGATACTGCATATTTTGCGTTCTTCCTGTGTTCTCATATTAATGTCCTGTATGTGCGCAGCAACATTGAAATTTCCTCACTGTGGGAAGAATAAAAGCTTATCTTATATTTGAGAAGTGAAATAAAGTGTGTATTAGGCATGTGCTATATTTATTCCCAATACCTTTAGCACTACTTATTGGAACTAATAATTGGCCTGGACCTCTACACACAGGTGAATCCATCCATCCATCCATTTTCTTCCCCTTAATCCATTTCTGGGTTGGGGGGGTGGCAGTCAGAGCTGTCAAAGCTGCACCCAATACACAGAGCACCAGCTCACAGGTGAATCCAACCATGAGAAATGGTATTTAAGTATATGCCAATTCTAAGTGTTTCTCCTCTTGCTGCCAACAGTAATGATAAGTTAGCTCTTTGTTGTTATTTTTTATATTATGTTTATGTATTTTTGTGTGTTTTGTATGGTTTTTGTGTGTGTTGGGATGAGTGAGAGGTTGAGTGAGAGGTTGAATGTGTGTGCATGTATGTGTGTTAATGTGATTGTTTGCTCTCTCTTAGTCTACTTTGCTTATTGTAAAACATCCACATTCTATTTTTATTTCTTTGATCATGGTTGATGGTTTTCTTATCATTCATGTAAATATTAGAAGTCTGTTACTGAAAATTGATCAACTCAGGGCCTGGCTTGTCTATAATAAACCTAGTATAATTACTAGGGCTGTCCAAAATAGCGCGTTATTAACGCGTTAACGCAAATCAATATTAACGCCGTCATTTTTTTTATCGCGCGATAAAAAAAAAAAAAAAAAAAAAAAAAAAGATTTTTTTTTTTTTTTTTTTTATCGCGCGATAAAAAAAAAAAAAAAAAAAAAAAAAAAAGATTTTTTTTTTTTTACTTTTTATTGCAGACAAACACATAGAAACAAAGAAAAGGACTAGTTCAGATACATTGTAGACAGAGATTACAAACAATATGTAGTTGGAGATACAGGGGGCCAAAGAAGAAACCCAGAAGGGCACATAGGAGGGGAGGGGGGGGGGGACATGAAGTGGGAGATGGGGGGAGGGGTTAATAATAAAGGCAATACAAGCAAACAGTATACAGTCATAGATATACCGAAGGTAAACAGAGAAACAGCATAGAGTATTTACATGAACAAATTTACAAAATATTTACAGATTGTTTATCATCATTATAATGACACCATGATGTTTCTATACAGTCTATGGTCTATACCCACACATACACACACACACCCACACACACACATTGAAGGGGCTTTTTGTTACCAATTATTTATTTTGTCATCCATTTATTGATGATTTTGCATCAAATGTTAGTGTGTAATATAACACTACACATTGTTTTCAATAAAAAAAGCAATTGCACACAGCACGCAAATGTGTGACTAATTTGCGATTAATCGCGAGTTAACTATGAAATTCATGCGATTAATCGCGATTAAATATTTTAATCGTTGGACAGCACTAATAATTACCATTTCTGAAACTTGGCTTTCCACTCATATCTCTGACACTGATATTAGCTTGGACAATTACATGTTATACAAAGCGGACAGAGGCTCAAGGGGGGGTGGAGTGGCCACTTATGTCTTTTCAAATCTACAATCACATGTTGTCTGCTTAAAGGAGAAACCAGTTAACTTTGAATGTCTTTTTGTCAAAACAATTCTACATGAAAATAAACATTTATTAATTGGAAACATTTATAGACCCCCAAATTCCCCTTCAGATTCTGTAAAGAATATTATATCTACTGTCACTTCCTTAGGCCAAACTGGTGAGATCATCCTATTGGGTGACTTTAACATAAACTGGCTTGCATCGTCCTCTGCTAGTGCGCGCAATATTTTTAACAGTGCAAATTTAACCCAGCTCATCAAGACACCAACGAGAACCAATCTTCAGACTAAATCTCTTCTTGACTGGATTTTGGTGTCTCATCCTGATAGGTTTTTGGAATCAGGGGTCCTATCTGACTGTTTTAGTAATCATTGCATAACTTTTTGTCGCTGGAAAATAAAAATGCCTCGACTGCCACCTAAACTCATTACAGTTCGTCATACTAGATTTAGTTGTGATCGTTTTATAGATGATTTGCTTGCTATTAACTGGAGTAGATTTAAATTGATGCCTTTTATTAACGAGGCTTGGAATTTTTTCTATGATGAACTTAAATTTGTAATTGATACTCATGCTCCTCTCAAAGTGATCAAAGTAAAAGGCCATCATCTTCCTTGGGTGAGTGGTGAATTACTGCATCTTTTTAAACAAAAAGACAAAGCATGGAAGAAGTTTCGCCTCACACATGATTCGGATGACTGGAATGCTTACAAGCTGCTTAGAAACAACTGTACTACACAAACCAGAAATGCCAAATCTAATTACTACAAAAACTGTCTGTATGACAACTTTAAAAATCCTAGGCAATTCTGGAAACAACTCAACACTTTACTTGGTAAATCTGATCGTCGTTCTACAAATATGGTCATTAATAATCAATCTACATCAGATCCTGAAATAATAGCAAATGCATTTAGTCAGCACTTTTCTTCTTTACCGAAGATGCAGCCTCCCTCTCAACCAACCTTGTCTCCTGATTCAATATTATACAGTAGTTCCTTTTCTTTCAGACAAATAAGTCCAACTGATGTTCAGCAGGCCATTAATGGACTATCATCTAATTCAGTGTCTCCCAAAGTGGGGTCCGCGGCCCCCTGGTGGGCCGCGAGGGTACTGCAGGGGGGCCGCGGGAGGTCATAAAAAAAATAAAATAATTATTTAATGTTAAATTTATAATGTTTTGTTTGTAATATTAAAATATTTGTGTTCATTATTTGACTTGAATAATCCACTGTAATCATTTTTGTATTACAATGTTTGTAGCAGAGGCTATTTCCCCAAAATAAAATAACCAGAAGAGCCTATTCTTAATGTTGTCTTCTTGGTTATTATTTTGGGGGGCCACGCAGACCCGTCAGATTTTTAAGGGGGCCTCGGTGTTACTGAGTTTGGGAATGGCTGATCTAATTCAAGTGCTGGCCCTGATGGTATCAAAGCCAAATTTATCAAGCTTGCATCTCATGTTCTTTCTTTTCCCTTAGCAGATCTTTTTAACTTATCTTTTTCTACCTGTGAAGTGCCTTCTGACTGGAAACGTGTAAGAGTCATTCCCCTTCACAAAGGTGGTGACCCCTGCAATGTGAATAATTATCGGCCCATATCGATTATTAATTGCATTGTCAAAGTTTTTGAAAAAATAATTTTTAATCAATTATCTGATTACTTGTCCTGCAACAATATTTTATCTTGTTTTCAGTCTGTTTTTAGACCATTTTTTTCAACAACTTCTGCATTACTCAAGTTCACAAATGACATTTTTACTGGTTTTCTCACTGGTGCATTATTTATCAACCTTTCAAAAGCATTTGATATGGTTGATCATTATCTTCTGTTAGATAAACTACACTCAATTGGTCTTGATAGGAACTCTCTTTTATGGTTTAACTCTTATCTTCATTTTCGCCAACAATGCGTTTCATTTGAAGGTAATCACTCTGATTTTAAAACCATTGAGAGAGGCGTGCCGCAGGGTTCATCACTTGGACCACTCTTATTCTCTATTTTTATCAATAATCTCCCCCTTGCTTGCAGAGATTGCAATATTCAACTTTATGCAGACGATACTATTATTTACAGTTCAAAACCTAACATCATTGAATTTCAAAACTTTCTCCAACATGACTTCGATAACGTACAGCACTGGCTTCAAGAAAACAAGTTACCTCTCAATAAAACCAAATCCCATTCAATGTTATTTTATGATAAAAACCAACGTGCACTTAATATTGTATCTTTGGATGGTTTGCCAATCGTACCTGTCGAGAGATTCAAATATTTGGGTGTATGGCTTGACTCCAACCTTTCTTTTAATTCTCACATACATTCTGTTGCCAATAAAATCACATATCGTTTGAAATTACTTTATCAATCTATTAATTGCTTTAGTTTCTCAGTGAGAAAGAGGATTGTCACGCAACTTTTACTTCCCATTCTTGATTATTGTGATATTGTTTATCAAAACACCTCTGCTACAAACCTTCAGCCACTTAATGTTATTTATAATAGTCTTTGTAGGTTTATTCTCCGTTGTCTCTTCAGAACTCACCACTGTCAGCTGTACGAACATCTCTCTTGGCTCACTCCATCCTCCAGACGACAATTTTACTGGCTATTATTTATTTTTAAATGTATTTATCTCAGTTATCCTGATTATTTGAAACAATACTTTACACAATTTAGTTATTTTTACGACTTAAGACATGCAAATCAATTATTTTTTGTTCCTCGAATTCGAAAAGAAATAGGTAAATTTTCATTTCACCATAAAGCACCTCTTGACTGGAATAATCTCCCTGCCTCTATCCGATCTATAACCTCCTATAACATGTATAAAAATGTCCTTCGGTCTTATCTACAGACGCCTTGTAATTGTTTTTGAAATGCGTGTTCTACAATGTTCTACTCTTAACTGTTTTTGTTTACTATAGAGCTGTGTGAGTGTCGGTGTGTGTTTGTTGTCGCTTGTTTTTTTTGTTTTTTTTGTTTCATCCTGTCTTTTTTATTTTTTATTTTACTTTATAATTATTTTTTGGTTCTGAGTCTGTACTGCTGTTTTCTGTCTTGTGTTTTTGCTTCTTGTAATTCTTTTGAGGACCCTCTTGTAAACGAGATGATGCATCTCAAGAGGTTTATCCTCTCAAATGAGTAAATAAATAAATAAATAAATGTACAGATGCATACTTACAACTATGTTTCTTGCAATAGAGATTTTATACCAATTCTTTATTATGCTAAAGTCAGAGATTATGTACTCAATTCTTGCTTCTTTAGATTGCTTCCTTATTATGCTAAAGCTTGAGATTTTATTTTATTTTATTTTTAGTATAGAGTTATTGTTGATTTATCTTGTGCTGTGTGCTCCTCATTCCTACTGTTCTGTACCCGGTGATGCAACACTGACATTTCCCCACTGTGGGACACATAAAGGATCTCCCAATCTCTTTGCATACTCCCTGATGCCTCAAAACAAATCTCAAATGGGTGCCCAAACTTCTGCATACCACCAAATGTGTTTGCTAATGTATTTACTTGGAACCGTTTGATTCTATGATCTTTTGTTTGCGAATCTAGAACTTTGTACAATCCTCCGACACGACTGCTGTTGTCATTTTGGGCTTTGCAAAAACACATTGAACTGATAATGTGCGAACAGGAGACTAATGTAACCGTGTTTTTGTGTTGTCTTCGATACAGGCTCCAACATGGTGTGGCTGACCGAAGAGGTGCTGCTCGGCGCCAGTGAAAACAGGATGACTGAGTTCAGTTTGAGTGAAGAAACCAGGGTTTTACTGGAGCTGGCTCTGGGGTCCGATAAAGGAGTAGCTCTGAGCCTTTGGCAGAATCTAGAGGAGTACGCTCACAGCAGAGGTAACGCTCCTGTCTGTTAGTGCAATAAACTGTAACCTAACCCTTGCACAAGTTTTAAAGTAGCAATATTTAAGATTTTCATGTCAAGTCATCATTAAAGGGCCTTAACCTGTCAAAAGGCATTAATAAAACATGTTCTTTTCAAATACTTCTTTAACTGATAACAGTAGTTCAGAGATATTTGGATTTTAGTTTTACAACCCTTGTACGGTTTTATCAATCAGAAAGTCCATGACCCTGGTTGCCAGAACTTACCGCGTTGATCTAATCTCACTGGTAAAGTACCATGTGGCGCAGAACTAAAAAAAGGTCTCGTTATGATTCTCAAACCATTAACAACAAAACAAGGAATACAACCAGGATTTTTATCTTTGTGAAAAAGGTGTTGGTTATAGATTTGTTGTTGACAAAACTCTTTATTTAGATATTATGGTCCCAGCTGGATTCGTCTGCATATCTGGCAACCTGAGTCAGGGAGAGAGGGAGAGGCTGCAGTACCACTTTTGGCCAGATTTAAACTGACTTTTTATTTTGGGCTCACGACAACGATGGCTGTGGAGTGAATCCAATCCACTTTATTTTTGCAGCACATTTCATAAACGAGCAGGTTGCAAAGTGCTGTACAAAAAGCAGAAATAGCAAAAAATTAAGTAAATACACACATATATAAAAATGAAAGCCAAATGATACATGATTTTCTCTGTAGATTACACACAGATGATTGGTTTAGTAATTAGACGGTGAGTATTCAGATGTTAGACATTCTCCAACTCTATTTTTTGCACTCAAGAGTATGCTGTCTGAATACTGTTTTTTTGTTTTGTTTTTTCTGTGCAGCACTTTGGGCAGCATTTGTTGTTGGGAATGAGCTATAGAAATACATTTGACATTGACATTGAATAATTGTGAAAGAACCACTTTTGTATTTATTGAATACTTTTTATACAATCAGTTTGCCTTCTCTTCACAATTCTTTGTTGAGGTCTTTAAAAGGAGAAAAATATTTACGTTTATAATCACAGTTGAATCCAATCCTAGTCTTCTTCCTTCCTGTTGTATTTGCATGTATGGTTGTAAAAATGGTAACAATATTAAAAAAACCTGCTTTGTGTTCAGAGTGGGAGAGTGGAGGATTCGCCGGAGACTCGCTGCTTCAAACTGTTTGCAGATGCAGTCTGGCTGTTCTCCTGAAGCACACTGGGATGCAGGACAAAGCTTATTGGAAAAACGGGTCAGTGTTGCACTCTACTAATTTAACCTTTTATGTTAACACTGTTTTCCGCATGGCACTGACAATTTGCCAACACAGATCAGAGAATCACCCAGTTCAAACACAGGAAATGCAACAATAGAAAACACATAGAGCCATGGGTTCTTAAGGGGCGGGTGACCAATGTCCATAAATGTTGGTAAATGTCCTGGATCATCACCACTTTTGACAGTCAACATGCGTCCTGCAGCTGCTAAAACTTTAAAACATGAAGTCCATGCCTCAACTCTCACTATAAAAATAAAAATAATAAAAATACATATGTTGGCTGCATTGCTATTCAGGTTGCAAAGATTAAAGAATTACAAAAAAATTGCTCCTTATAGTCCTGCACTTGCTGACCTCTGCTCCTCAGATGTAAAGGCATGACATGTATTTTGAATCGTTCTGTATTGTTCTCCACGCAGATATGACCCGTGTGAGCAGCTGATGGATGTGTACGAAGCCGTGTATAAAATCAGAAGTGCGTTGCTAGCTTACAAAAACATCCCTACGACTTCCCAAGTGATGTCTTCAATCAAACTGGTGATTGATTTTGCTTTTTTTTTTCTTGAATATTATCAATGTATTTATATATGTCTATGTCTTAACAACAAGCTAGCGATCATCAGTTCTGTTGGCGTCAGTAACTATGTACAATAATGATACTGTCACCTTTGGTTAGTGGCCTTGTGGAGATTTGACTAAAACAGGACTTACACAGGTTGTAGTTGTGCCTTTGTGTGCGTTTGTGTCCATGTTCTGTATTATTTGTATTGTGATATGAACAGTTTGATTGTTTTGAGGTTGGGGGTGCTCCATAAGCTTTTTGCTCCAGCCTTTTCTATTATCCAGATTTTTATAGTCAGTTAGACACAGCAAAGGAAGGTTTCTCACCCTTCATCTGTACTTCTTTGCAGGTTTTCCCAATGTTTCGTCCTTAATCCAAAGAACTTTTCCAGGTTTCCTTGATAAAAGTTCTTTGGATTCAGGACGAAACGTAGGGAGGGATGATGGGTGAGAAACATTCATTTGCTTTGACTAAGCCCCAAACGACTGAAAGATTACACAAAGTTAGTTAGACACATTTTTTTGTTGCTGGATACTGGCATTTCTCCTATGGTGAATCAATATAGTATCTATCTGTCTATCTATCCATATCTCCATCTATCTCTCTTTTGATCTCTATCTATATCTCCAGCTAACTGTCGCTAATTCGATCTCTATCCATCTATTTATCTATCTATCTAAAACCCTATCTATCTCTGTCTCTCTTTCTCTTTTGATTTCCTCATCTCTCTATTTATGTCTCTTGCTAGCTCTCTCTCTCTCTGTCAATATCTCTATCTCTATATTTCTGTCTCTTGCTATCTCTCTTGTGGTTTCTCCATCTCTCTATCCATCTCTATCTCTACTTTCTACCTTCTATCTATCTACCTTCCTATCTTTCCGTTTGAGCAGAATTTCCTGAGTCAGGGAGACTGGGAGAGGCTGCAGTACCACTTTTTGCCAGAATTTTACATACTCCTCTCTTTTAAGTTTTATTTCAGTATAGTTATTGTTCTTTATCTTGTGCTGTGTGCTCCTCATTCCCACTGCTCTGTGACTGATGATGCAACACTGACATTTCCTCCACTGTGGGACGAATAACGCATCTCTTAATCTCAATCTTAATCTATCGTCTTTGTGTTTAGAAGCCGGATCCGGGGAGCAGAACACTCCGCAGAACTCCAGCAAAAGTCCGAAGTGGCTGAACCTTCGCTGACGGACCCTGACTCTGGAGCACAGTGTAAATGTAGCATTAAGTTATGAAGCAGCTCGGTCTGTGTTAGCCCCTGTACCTTTATTCACAATATTATTTCATCCTTACCTACGTTTCACTTTGTAATATACACATAAATGTATACAGTGATATTATAATCTATAGATATGAATTGTATGTCATTATAATTTGCATTCTTTAATAAAATTGTGTTGTCCTCGGTTTGGTTTGAATTCAAAGTTGTGTTTTCTTATATCATGGAAAGAAAAGGAGGAAATGTATTTGTATGGCACAGTTTATACACAAGGGAACTCCAAGTGCGGAACAAAACAAGACAGAAACAACATAAATGTACATTAACATTAACAAGCCACAGTATATGATAGCAATCGAGACGGGATATATCTTTAAGTCTGTATTTTATTATTGACAACAAAAACCTAATACATGATGCCAGCTGCAAATATGTTCAGTTTTGATTTGGTGATAAACACTTTTAACGGATACAAGGCCAAATCTACAGCGCAATCTATATTCTAGAGCAGACATGGGCAAACCTCCTGAGGCCGCTGGGATCTCAGTGTGTTGTCAGAGGCTGCTCCAATGTTTTTCTCAGGCTTTAAACATAAATGTATTTATATATACTGCGTATCTTTGAACTAAATGTTACACAGCAGAGCGAGGAGCGCGACTGAGGCTCCACTGCTCTACACGCAGCACAGAGGGACTTTATTGTCTTTACACTATATATAAACTGAGGAGGACTCAGCGACCTGATAGAGACGTCCAAAGGGCCGCATCAAGGTTTGCCCATATGACAGGAATCCCTTTCCAAAGACACAGAGTAGATCCAGGACTGAGGCTGTAGATCCAGGACTGAGGCTGTAGATCCAGGACTGAGGCTGTAGATCCAGGACTGAGGCTGTAGACCCAGGACTGAGGCTGTAGACCCAGGACTGAGGCTGTAGATCCAGGACTGAGGCTGTAGATCCAGGACCTGTAAGATAAGATAAGATGTACTTTATTAATCTCACACAGGAGAAATGTACATGTCACATTGGCAAGGATAGGAACACTCAAGAATTGTGCAAAAAGTAAGAAATGTGCAACATGTTAATGCAGGATATATTATGTACAAAAAAGTGGCAATTAGAAAGTGGCAATCAAGAAAGAAGTGTCAATAGTAGTGCAGGCTTTTTTTCAGTCTTAATGGAAGGACTTAAAGTGACTTGTTGTACAGTCTGACAGCGGTGGGGATAAAGGCCCTGCAGTAGCGCTCCTAAGATCTTACACTGAGGGTGTCTCAGTCTTCCACTGAGGGAGCTCCTCAGCTCCTCTACAGTAACCCTGTGCAGTGGGAGGTGTTGTCCATGATGGAGGTGGCAGCACCCTCCTGTCCCTCACCTCCTCCACAGAATCCAGGGAGCACCCCAGAGGCTGTAGACCCAGGACTGAGGTTGTAGATCCTGGACTGAGGCTGTAGTAAGTAAGTAGGTAATCTTTATTTATATACCGCCTTTTCACTGCAGATCTGAGTCTCAAAGCGGTTTACAATTGTTATTTTTGGGCATTTGTCTCTCGCTCCATACAGAGATGGGAGCGGGGTCGCCAGTACAGGAGGCACATGCCAAACCTATTGTACATATTTTTAGTGGTAGGGGAAACCGGAGTACCCGGAGGAAACCTGCAAACTCACCTAAACCATGCAAACTCCACTCAGAAAGGCCCTGATCCGACCGGGATTCGAATCCAGGACCTTCTTGCTGAGAGGCGAGAGTGCTATCCACTCAGCCACCTGTAGATCAAGGACTGAGGCTGTAGACCCAGGACTGAGGCTGTAGTTGGGGGACAGTTAGTAAAACTAGTTTTTTTGTGTGGTTATTTTCAGAATTGACTTGAAAGGGAACCAACAAAAGTGACCAATAACAAATGCTGTGTGAGTTAGAATTAGTTTGAGAATTCTGAGAAAGTCCGATCAGTGTTGTTGATGCTTGGATGAGGAACTATTACAGAACTCTTTCCTGGGGAATCCAAACACACACCTCAGCCGGTCGTAAATATGAGCGGACCTGACGTCTTGTGGCTTTTCTCGCTAAAACCCTTTTGTAGTTCCTCACCTTTGACTCTTCAAGTGTTTTCCAGTTTCCAGATTGTTTATTTCCCACGCTTCCTGACACCTGTGAAAATGTCCCCTTTTCCTGTTGTTGTTGTGTCTGCCCCGCACAAGAATGTCAAAAACAAGAATTTGCTTTTCTCTCCTCGTGCAAAGCTGAAACAGGACTGAGAGACTTTGCGGATTTGAGAAAGTTAAAAAAATTTTAGTTAGCCACGATATTGGGGCCCCCAGTGGCTCGGCTGGACAGGTACGGGGGCCCCGGCTGGGATGGGATTGGACGCACACAATCTTACGGCTCAAGTGTTCCTCTGAGTCTCTGAGAACAGTTTGCGGAGACCTTGTGACCAAACAAAGGGCCCGTGAGAACAACAGGATGGAGTTGGTGAGAAATGCCCTTTATCTGAGTCCCTGAACGCGTCACGGCTCCTGAAGAAACAAAGCAATGAAAGAAAAGCTGCTTCGCCAACAACACACCGGGTCTGAACGCAACATTTATGGACATTGGTCTCAGCCCCTGATCCAGATTCGCATTCATTTATTTGCCATTTGCAGTAAAACCACATGGAATAAATTTGTAAAAGTCCCTGCAGTGTGCACAAGACAAGTACATGAATGTAAGAAGGTAAAAATATGGGGAAAAAACAGACAAAACTGTACAATCGATCGACCAAAACCGATTCAATACGAAGTGCTTGATCATTAAAGTGCTTTTTTTAAACGGATGACAGCTTGTGGAAAGAAGCTGTTAGCATGTTAGTGTCACAGCTGTAAAGCAGGTTCTTTGGACCTGGGTTTAAAAAGAAGACCACTGAATTAAAAGCAAATTAAAAGAAATGTATTATAAAATACATTAAAAAGCAATGAAAACAATAAAACCCTAGGCTATAAAAACACGGACTAAAAAGCTAAAACAGGCTAAAAGTCCTTCTGGCCACGGCCTGGGCCGCCAGACCACGGGGCTCTCCCCTCGCCCGTCTGGCCCACGTCTTCGTTCTCTGCTTTTTCTCTCTCTGCCCCCTCCCCATCTCCTTTTGTACCATGGCACAGGTGTTGTAATTGTCACGTGGGGAGGCGGGCTACTTCAGATGTTGCAAGTTAAAAATCAATGTTAAAAACTCACAAACACAACATGCATAAAATATAAATAAAACCATATTAAAACCCACCACCCATTTTGCACCCACCGACATTAGCATATTGAAATGTCCCGCAGCTCAGTGAACGATGTCTTCTGCTAGAGGGAAGAAGCTGGAACATGGCTTTTCCAGGGTGGACAGAAGAATCAGTGATTATTCTAAGAGCTTGGTTTAAAAGTCTGGATTTATAAAGACGATCAGAACAGGCAGCTCACGGTCCTCTCTCTGGTCTCTCTCTGGTCTCTCTCTTTGGTCTCTCTCTGGTCTCTTTCCGGTCTCTCTCTGGTCTCTCTCTCTGGTCTCTCTCTTTGGTCTCTCTCTGGTCTCTCTCTGGTCTCTTTCCGGTCTCTTTCCGGTCTCTCTCTGGTCTCTCTCTGGTCTCTCTCTCTGGTCTCTCTCTGGTCTCTCTCTGGTCTCTCTCTGGTCTCTCTCTCTGGTCTCTCTCTCTTTGGTCTCTCTGGTCTCTCTCTGGTCTCTTTCCGGTCTCTCTCTTTGGTCTCTCTCTCTTTGGTCTCTCTCTGGTCTCTCTCTGGTCTCTCTCTCTGGTCTCTCTCTTTGGTCTCTCTCTGGTCTCTCTCTCTGGTCTCTCTCTTTGGTCTCTCTCTGGTCTCTCTCTGGTCTCTTTCCGGTCTCTCTCTGCTCTCTCTCTGGTCTCTCTCCGGTCTCTCTCTGGTCTCTCTCTTTGGTCTCTCTCTGGTCTCTCTCTCTGGTCTCTCTCTTTGGTCTCTCTCTGGTCTCTCTCTGGTCTCTTTCCGGTCTCTCTCTGCTCTCTCTCTGGTCTCTCTCCGGTCTCTCTCTGGTCTCCTTTCTTTGTCTGTGATGTCACCAAACCACAGTCATGGAACCAACCAACAAAAAAAAAAAAAAAATGATTCTGATTCGGACTTTCAATGGTGCAGCGATAAAAGTTAAGCAGAATCTTAGAGTTAGCGGTAAATTCTCTTTGGACCAACGGCTCAATGTTTTTTTCTATCACTGCATTTCTTGTGTTTGAACGGTTTAATTCTCTGATATGTGTTGGAGAATGTTTACGGTTTGGTAAAGTCCTCTGATTTAGGGGCTATAAACAGAGAAAAAAGTGACATGACTGTTTTCTTTTGAGTTGATGTGTATCTGTCTTTTAAGTCATTTGGATGTAATAAATAATGAGATGGAAATAAGATTGAAGGAACTTTTAATGTGACTTGTTCTATTGGTTTTCAGCATGAATACAGAAAAAAACTTGCTATACATGCGGCCAAATTGGTTCAAAACATCAGATCTCGGGAGCTAAGCAAGATGGTTAGTATTAAAATAATAATGCATGGGTTTTATAGTGCGTGTTTAGACACTCAGAGACGCTTCACATAGCATTATTCTCCATACAAAAGTACCTCTGAAGCCACAGTTGCCCTGGGCACACTGACAGAAGCAAGGCACCCAGTATTTGCCCTCATTGGTTCACACACACACACACACACACACACATACACGTTTTTGTTACCTGGTGGGTCCCTTTGACAGGGCCGTTCAGAATGGGACCCATAGACATAATCTTTTTTTACTGGGACTACTTTAAGTAATACAAAACAGTCAATAGAAACCAAACAACTATTTTAAAGGAATTTTATTTTAGATTTTGTTTTCGAATTGCAGTGATTCTATTTTTGACATAGAATTTAATGCCACTCCATGTCCGATGTCTAAGGTCATCTGGTGAGGCATTAATGCAGGCCAGGCAGTGAGACTTCCCAGGGACCTTTCCAGTCTGT